TGCAGAGCTTGCTCAGGAATGGTAAGCAGGCAGTTGTGAGTGCATCTGCACGCACAGTGAGGTGAAGACTTTTGGAGGATGGCCAGGTGTTAAGAAGGGAAGCAAAGAAGCCACTTCTCTCCAGGAAAAACATCAGGGACAGACTAATATTCTGGGGTAAAGTCATTTTCTCGATGAATCCCCTTTCCGATTGTTTTGAAAAAAACCTTGTCCAGAGAAGAAAAGGTGAGCACTACCATTGAACCTGTCATGTCAACAGTAAAGCATTTGAGACCATTCATGTGTGGGGTCGCTTCTCAGCCATGGTAGTGGGCTCACTCACAATTTTTCCTAAGAACACAGCCATGAATACAGAATGGTGCAAAAACATCCTCCGAGAGCAACTTCTCCCAGCCATCCAAGAACTGTTTGGTGATGAACAATGCCTTTTCCAGCAGTATAGAGCACCTCGCCATAAGCAAAAGTAATAACTAAGTGGCTTGGGGAACAAAAGATCAAATTTTGGGGTCCATGGCCAGGAAACTCCCCAGACCTTAATCCCATTGAGAACTTGTGGTCAATCCTCAAGAGGCGGGTGAACAAAAACCCCACCAATTCTGACAAACTCCAAGCATTGAATGGGCTGCCATCAATCAGGATGTGGTCCAGAAGTTGACTGACAGCATGCCCAGCGCAAATTGCAGAGGTCTTCAAAAAGAAGGGTCACCACTGCAAATATTGACTCTTTGAAAACTTAATGTAATTGTCAATAAAAGCCTTTGACACTAATGAAATGCTTGTAATTCTACTTCAGTATACCATAGTAACATCTGACAAAAAGATCTAAAAACACTGACGCAGCAGACTTTGTGAAAATTAACATTTTTGTCATTCTCAAAACTTTTGGCCATAGCTGTATGACATCATTTTGGCCTAGACCAGAAACAAGGAGGTAAATGAAGAAATATGAAAAACAAAAAGGTTTTTAAACAGGTAATACAATATACTGTACCTTCCTATCAATTTACTAAGGCTAGGAGCATAAGGATTACAAATAGTTACCCTAGATTCACATCTGTGCGGGTGGTGCCACTGCGGATCCGCACGAAAATCCGTGCAGCCGCACCACCCGCACAGAGAAATGCGGACCCGTGGGTGGGTGCCATTAGTTCCAATGGCACGCCGCCCGCACTGGAAAACGCAACCGTACTGGGAAAAATTTCCGAGGTTCCCGTGCGGGCTGCGTTTTCCAAAGAAGTGCAGGGACTTCTTCCTGCAGCGTCCCCGGGGCCTCCGGCCGATGCTGGCATCCAGCTCCTGCGTGTCCCGGGGTCATTGCTATTTCACGGGAGTCCCATTCAAATACGCATGGCTGCATATAACCTCCTTAGCATGTGAACTGGGGGTAAATAGTGTTTTTTTCCTGCAGCGTCCCCGGCCATCTTCCTCCGGCCGATGCTGGCATCCAGCTTCTGTGTTCCGGTCCCTGTGACGTCGTTGACTGAGAGAGTTTGGTTAAATCAGAACCACTTGCAGAATTGAGTGATAATGATTCGTGGGGAAATTCGTCATCAGACACTGAAAATGATTTTGCGACTTTGCTCAGCGATGTGCGAATTTGCCGCTTTTATTTAAAATGATTTCGACAGACTGATTACAGATTTCAGGAGTTATCCACTGTCCAGTTTCAGGGAGATGATGCGGGCTGAACCAGGATGTTGCACAATGTGTATGTGGATGACAAGACTGGCCGAGCAGAATTATAACTATACACCCTACACACACACATTGCCCTATTTCGGTCATGCCTAGTATATAACACCCTCTGTCTCTTCCTAGTCCTCAGCCTGGTGTTCTTCTGTATATACTGGGGTCAGTACGCACAGGATGGAGTGGGCAGTCCCAGCATCAAAGTGCTAGGTCAGTTGAAGAATATGGATGTATGTGTGTGTGCCATTTTTTGTATTTCATATGTATATATAACTAATTTCATTTTATTTTATTTCCCTCCTAGCCAAGCTGCTTTTCTCTGCCAGTTTCCTTATCTTCTTGCTCATGCTGATTCTCCTTGGAAAAGGATTTACAGTGACAAGGTACACAGAGCACCTGCCAGTGTGATATGTCAAAGCGCAGTTTATCACCGCTGTCACCGGCATCATTCCCATTGCTTGCAGCATTGGAGGCCCAGATTAAAAATGTAATTTTTAAAGCAAAATCCTTTACACAGCAGGGCAGTGAGATGTTGTAAGTTGGAGAACCCTCCATGTGTGGGTAGGATCATAAAGCGGGCTTATAATTGCTCTGCCGCTGTTCCTAGCAGGGTTTTTTTTTTTTGTGCTGTCTGTGGGGAAACCTTGGATTCTTCTAGCGATGTACACTATATTTCCAAAAGTATTGGGCCAGCCCTCCAAATCATTGGATTCAGGTGTTCCAATCACCTCCATGGTCACAGGTGTATAAAATCAAGCACCTAGGCATGCAGACGGCTTCTACAAACATTTGTGAAAGAATGGGTCGCTCTCAGGAGCTCAGTGACCCCAAGCGTGGTGCCGTGATAGGTGGTTACCTGTGCAATAAGTCCATCCGTGACATTTCCTGGCTACTAAATATTCCACGGTCAACTGTTAGTGGGATTATAACAAAGTGGAAGCAACTGGGAACAACAGTAGCTCAGCCACCAAAAGGCCACGTAAAATGACAGAGCAGGGTCAAGTGCACAGTGCACAGAAGTCACCAACTGTCTGCAGAGTCAATAGCTAAAGACCTCCAAACTTGGTGTGGCCTTTAGATTAGCACAACAACAGTGCGTAGAGAGCTTCATGGAATGGGTTTCCATGGCTGAGCAGCTGCATCCAAGCCTTACATCACCAAGTGCAATGCAAAGCGTCGGATGCAGTGGTGTAAAGCACGCCACTACTGGACTCTAGAGCAGTGGAGAAGTGTTCTCTGGAGTGACCAATCACGCTTCTCTGTCTGGCAACCTCGATGGCATGTCTGGGTTTGGCAGTTTCCAGGAGAACGGTACTTGCCTGACTGCATTTTGCCAAGTGTAAAGGTGGTGGAGGGGGGGGATTATGGTGTGAGGTTGTTTTTCAGGGGTTAGGCTTGGCCCCCTAGTTCCAGTGAAGGGAACTCTTAAGGTGTCAGCATACCAGGACATTTTGGACAATTTCATGCTCCCAACTTTGTGGGAAGAGTTTGGGGATGGCCCCTTCCTGTTCCAACATGACTGCGCACCAGTGCACAAAGCAAGGTCCATAAAGACATGGATGAGCGCCAGTTTGGGGTGGAGGAACGTGATTGGCCTGCACAGAGTCCTGACCTCAACCCCATAGAACACCTTTGGGATGAATTAGAGCTGAGACTGCCAGCCAGGCCTTCTCGTCCGACATCAGTGCCTGACCTCACAAATGCGCTTCTGGAAGAATGGTCAAACCCTTCCCATAGACACCCTCCTAAACCTTGTGGACGGCCTTCCCAGAAGAGGTGAAGCTGTTTTAGCTGCAAAGGGCGGGGCCAACTCAATATTGAACGTTATGGACTAAGACTGGGATGTCATTAGAGTTCATGTGTGGTTTTATAAGCATTTTACAAGCATTAAAACAGCACCGCAAAAGCCTATAATAAACTCTAATGGTATTAACATGCCGCACTGCAAACGCCCCGCAAATGCCTGCCAGGGCATTTGAGGAGCATCACCATAGATTTGAATGGGAGGCATTGAAAGGCTTCAAATCCTCCTGACTTGACATCAAACTTAAATTTTAAAACGACGCAACACTAACACTTCATATTTTGATAATGTGAACAGCTGTGTGCTGCCCATAGTATCATTTCCATAGGTGTTTGAGGAGCATTAAAAAGCCAGTTTCAAAGCCAATGTGAACTAGGCCTAAGTGTGTATGCCAGGCATCCCAATACCTTTGGCAATATAGTGTATATTGTGTGAACAGGATTGATTCATCTTTACTAGTATCTGGAAATCATTTTGTATGCAGTTGTTGGAGAGGTGAATTTTGGGAAAGGGATTCAGAACTCTTGAGGGTACTAAGTTACCTCTGTTTACACGCGAATTAATAGATGGAAGTACACAATGAGGTGGATTTACTGAAGGCAAATAGACTGTGCACTTTGCATGTGCAGTTGCTCTAGAGCTTAGTAAATGAAGGGAAGCTTTGCTGACTTCCATCATCCAATCATGTGCAAGCAAAATAGAGGAGAAAGAAGAAGGGGGGAGAGAAGACATATGCTGACAGATCCTCCGCAGTGCTGGAGATGTGTGAGGGGGGGTGGCCGCGGAGAGCATACAGGAGCCGATCCGCATGCAGGAGATAGATAGGCGAGGCGGCTGGGCGGCACATGGAGGAACCTGCAGAGTTCTCTATGTGCCACCCGGCTGCCTCTCCTATCCAGGCGGCCCCGGCCCACCAGGCAAATGCCCGTTGTGCCCTATGGCCAGTCCGGGCCCGCCTGCAGGTAGGCCTTACTAGGCTTACCACTTCAAAAACTGAGGGCGTTATATCACTTTAAGGCTGCTTTCACACTAATCAGTTTTTTTTCCATTTCTGCGATAAAAAAGTGGAAAAAAAATGGATGACCATTAAATATCCTATGGAAATCCACACTGGTCAGTTGTGGGTTTGTTGCATTTTTAAAAGTCCTGCAAGCTGCATTTTTGGTGCGGTAAAATAAAAATGCCCCTCCGCATTGAAATGAATAGAAAACACATCACAAATGTGGTAAAAACACATTAAAAACACACCCACGTTTGGTGCGATTTTTTTAATAACGTCCTTTTTTCACAGTCGCAAATGGGAAACACGCCGAAATTGCACATGCGTTTTTACGGCGTTTTTGCAACAGCCCAGTGTGAAAGTAGTCTATGGAAAAATAAAAGTTCTCTGTTTAGGAAAAGAGCATAACAGTATAAATGACTTCCCCTTAACATACAGTGCCTTTCATTGCTGTGGGGCCCCTGTACCACACTGCACAGCACTGCAAAAAAGATCAGAGCAGGAATTGTTTTCTCTCCTGGGTTCACACTGATGCGGTGTGGAATTTGCCACGGTTTCTGTGCGAGTTCCGCACCGCATCAGAATCGCGAACCGTTCATGCGAACCACTGCGTGTGTGTATGGTAAGTTAACAACCCCCCCCGAAATCAGTCCACAAAATGCGGTGCGATGTGGAGAATTGGATCGCATAGGTGTGAATACCCATGCGATCCGATTCTAGTGCGGACCAAAAAATGGGTCCTGCACCTTTTTGGTGCGGATGCAGTGCGATTTGAGCCATACAAAATGTATGGCTCTGATCGCACCGCACAGAATTTGCATGTGATTTGCACAGGAATGCGGTGCGGTTCCTGTTAGAATCACATGCGATATACCGCACCGCTCACTTCAATGCAGTGCAATGAATAAAAGAGCTTACATGGACAACAGATCTATGTGAAGTCCCCGGTGTTGTGGTAAACAACATGCATTACAATGCAGAAAAATGCATAGTTGTAAGTAAGCGCTGGCGGTCGTGTTGGCATTTTGCCGAGCATTAAGGCTAGGTTCACACCTATGCAATTTGTGTTTGTGCTGTTTCTGCCTTGCGTTTTTTCACTTGTGTTTTTTTTCACACGTTTTTGCTGCTTTTTGCGTTATTTTTTTAGTTTTAGTTTTTTTTCCAATGTTTTTAGGCAGATTTCAAACGCAGCAAAAACGCACTACATGCTTTTCTGTAGCGTTTCCATGGAAGTCTATAGAACCAATAACGCAACTTTTTGCGTTCACAAAAGTCCCTGACCCTTTCCAAAAAAACGCACCGGGTGAAAATGCAGAGAAGTGGACCTGACCCATAGGAAATCATGTTAAATGAACTGTACTGCGTTTCTGCAACACGGACAATGCTTAGGAGTGAACCTAGGTTGCAGGACTAAGGGCACAGCCACACTAGGTGTACATAGCATGTGCTGGTATAGTGTGCTCATTGATGCATTGTGAATACACATTTGCTAGTTTCTTTTTAAAAAAATCTATTTCCACTCTAAGTGCGTTATAGTGCATCAGAATATGCTGCATAAAGATGCAACATTTCCATTTTTATTTGGTGCACACCAATACAACACAGCTGAGACAATAGCTGAGTCTTCGGCCAGTTGACTCTGGGGGGTTGTTCCTGCACCCGCCCACAGGATGTTCTGGGTGCTGACCTGCCCAATTTCAATCGGGCTAAGACTGACTTGGAACACCAAGTCGGGGATTGGATTTCCGACACCAGCGCATCAGTCCGATCGCGACAGTACCAAACACTTTTTGACTGTCGCACTCCAGCGCCACCTAACCATTTTCTGCATTTTCCTGGCCTTCTACCTAAGTCACAAATATGGTTTTTAAGTGTCAGTGTGACGCACAGGGTGCACTATTAGAAGGAAGTATTTCCATCTTTCTGCAACTATTATTTTAACTTTTTATAAAGGAAGAAACATTCTTCTTTGATGTGTGTACATTCCTTAAAGCTCCCCTGGTCATCTGCAACCGAACTGTCTGGAGCCATTTCCTTCAAACTGGTTTTCCCAGAAGCTGACACACCTTATTAGCACTTAGGTGTCACATCCAGAGGAAGCTGGCTTTTCACATGCTAATTGATGAGCTAATTGATGAGCATCTGTCTGAGTACCTATGACTGAATACATCTTTAATAACAATGGAATGCAACTAGGGTTACGATTACATATTGCTACTGATCACATCTTATCTACTCAAATCTGTACATTTATGTTACATGTACGTTACATCACGTCACATGTACGTTACACACGTGTGTATATATATATATATATATATATATATATATATATATATATATATGATTTTGCACACCCGTGCTGCCCTGTAGCAGTATTTCTACTATAGGGCGGTCGGCAAGCGGTTTACAAACAAGTGATCAGTGGCAATGTTGATATTTCTTTTTTCAGAGGCTCATTTTTGGAGTAACGCAACGTCTTGATGCTAAACACAAGTTACTCATGTCCATGTATCACCAGCCCATCCACTATTCTGTCACGTCACTTTCTTTGACCTTGTCATTTCAGGGGTCGGATCAGCCACCTTGGTTCTATCAAGCTGTCAGTTTACATGACGTTGTACACGGTTACACACACGGTGCTGTTTATACATGAGGCTCAGGTAAGAAGCTTTACCGTCATATAGTCCAATTCTAAATTTCCAGCAGCCAAGGTTTTTTTTTAGTGCAAAATTAACAAAATGCGGAGCTTAAAGTGGTTGTAAATCCTCACATATACCCAGTGAAGTGACTGGCCTCAGGTAATATACAGGGATTAAATAAATTCTCCTACATATGTTGTACCTGTTTATCTACTGCTGCCTTTCCCCTACATCCATTCCAAGTGCAGACATTAGACAGGATCTGAAAAGCGGGGGGGAGGGGAGCTGGAGTTACATCATGAGGAGATCTCTGAGAGCTGATTGGAGGGAAGACACACAGACCCCCTTCACACAGCACACAGGAACAGAGCTGAGGTTGTCCATCACAGGCTGTGCCCTCCCTGTCACCATTTTTCTTTTGGTGTCGGGAAAAACGTGTCAGAAGTGACTCATGTGTATAAGCAGAGGAATGAGGCAGTGGACAGAAATGACACTTAGTACTCTGGATGGAGACAAGTACACACTATAGAGGGATGTGCTTTGTTCTTTCATGTCTGAGGTTTACAACCACTTTAAGCCAAATATGAATCTAAAAGTGACCCTCTCACTGCAGAAGAAGGCGGCTTGCTTGAAAAAAAATCCCATCTATACTTGCTTTAAAGGTGACCCATGTCTTGAAATGCTGCAGCTTCCTGCTGCTCAACTGTTGAAGGTGTTGAATTCTTCTGCATGGGTTGAATATCTGTTCACCCCTCCGCACGCCATGATTGCTCCCAATGTTTTGTACATCCTGTTTTGACATGGGAGGAACCAATGCATGTGGTCGGGGGAGCACACACACCCACAACTGTGGAATACCCCAAACACTTTAAGTGGCAGTGCTTCCAGACATGAGCTGTCAAAAAACGTAAGTATAGATGGGCTTCTTTTACAGGGCTGGCCTTCATTCATATGCCACAACAAACAGCCACATTTACAGCTGAAATACACATATGAGAGTTGTTTTACCTGCCAAGGGTTTTGAATTTCTGCCCATCCAGCTCTGAGATTTATACAGCTCAGCTATACAACACAGCCACATTTCTCTACAGTTAAAGAGAAGTTCTGGACCCCCCCCCCAAAAAAATTAAAAGTCAGCAGCTACAAATTCTGTAGCTGCTGATTTTAAATTTTAGGGGCACTTACCTGTCCAGGCATCCAGCGGTGTCCTCACCTGAGCCGATTCTTCAATCATCTATTGGGTGCTGGCGCCGCCATCTTGACAAAGGGAAACCAGTCTTACGGCTTCACAGCCGTTCCCTACTACGCATGCACGGAGCCCGCTGCACTTTGTGAATGGGCCACAGTCTTCTGGGACTATGAAGTGTCCCAGAAGGCTGTGAAGAAGGGGGGGCTGAACTTCCAGGTCAGTTCATCTCCGTCAACTGAGCCAGAAGTGGGAGCAGGTACCTGTCAAAACCAGGTACCTGCTTGCCTTCAAAAGATGGCAAATGTGGCAGCGTAGGGGAGGGGGAGGCAGACAAATGGAGCTTCCGCTTTGGGTGGAACTCCGCTTTAAGCAGATCACCTCTCTTCCTCTTCATTGTGACTGAGAACGTGTATAGCCCCTTTGACTTTTATATTAATTGTTTATAGAGCTATTTGAGTTGAGGGGTGATCATCTGTCTCAAACCATAAGTAATCGCTCCATGTGCTCCACAGCTGGCACATAAATGCCTTTCGGGACAAATCGCCAGCCACTATAGCGATTATGTTGCTAGCTACAAATCACCGCCATAAGCGAAAAAAACAAGGAATGTCCCCCACAAAATTGTCCATCTGATATTGATTTTAGAATAGGTGGTGCCCTGATAAGGGTGTGGGGTTGATGCATGGGCCATTATTCCCTATCAGTTTGGCACAAATCCCACCCCTTTCCTCCTTCATGTGTTGCAGCCTATGCATTTTGCAGTCCATAAGCAACACACATAAAAATGTAAGCTCTGATAAGATATTCCTGTTTATTATGGTTTATATGTTCTTACTTGTTTCTATGCTTGTGTGTTGCTCCCAGTTCTTTGACCCAGCTCAGGTCCTGTACACATACGAGTCCCCTGCTGGCTATGGGAAACATTGCTCTTCAGTTTCTGGCCTACATATGGTTCTGTTACGCCGTGCTGGTGACCCTCAAACATTTCCCAGAAAAACAGGCTTTCTACGTGCCCTTTTTTGCAGCCTATACTTTGTGGTAAGTATGAGAGTGGATCAAGTGATAGAAAAACTGTGGTAGAATTAAATCTTGATACACCATTATTCGACTTAAACACAGTGGACCAATAATATATAAAGGTGGACCTAAAGCCTAAACAATTGGTTAACCCAGCCATTCTCAAATAGGGTTCCATAAAACCCTTGGGTTCCACCAGATGTTGCTGGGGTTTCCTGGAGTTGTGGTTGACTGACCTTCCATTTGATGGTGCCTACATAGCTTCAAGCCCTACACCACTTGGCAGAGCCAGTGGCATGGCACCAATGAATCGTTTTTGCTATTTGTAAGGGTGGCATTCTCACCACAATTGTAAGGGGGCATTCTATCCATTGACCTAAAGTCTAAGCAATAGGTTAACCCAGCCAATCTCAAATAGGGTTCCCTCACAGCCTTAGGGTTCCTCCAGACGTTGCTAAGGTCCTTGAGTTGTGGTTGACTGACCTCCCATTTGATGGTGCCTACATAGTTCCAAGCCCTACACTACTTTGCAGAGCTAGTGGCATGGCACCAGTGATCTTTTTAACTGTCTGTAATGGTGGCATTCTGACCACCAGTGTAAGGGGACATTCTTTCCATTGACCTAAAGCCTAAGCAGTATGTTAACCCAGCCATTCTCGAATAGGGTTCCATGAAACTCTAGGGTTCCTCCAGATGTTGCTAGGAGTTCCTTGAGTTGTGGTTGACTGATCTTCCATTTAATGATGCCTACATAGTTCCAAGCCCTACACTACTTGGCAGAGCCAGCGGCAATGGCTGCAACAATCTTTTTTGCTATCTGTAAAGGTGGCAATTCTGACCATCACTGTAAGGGGGCATTCTTTCCATTGGCCAACAAAATATGGATGAATAGGTTTTAACAGGTGTTCCTCCTAGGACCTAAAATTATATAAAGGGTTCCTCTCAGGTATATAAGTTGAAAAAGAATGGGTTAAACAGAGCCATGTTGGGAGGTTTATTTTGGGTT